AAATACGCTGTCTGAAAGAAATAAGACATGTGGTATGCACATGTTGATATGCATGTTGTATAACATGTGTGTAATGGCACAGGGGTTATAAACAATCTCTACAGACTGAAAGAAAATGTCAGATTCCTAGGAACAGTGTAGGGAGCTGCGAGGAGGTTATAATGAAAACACTTGGAGAGACGGGGATACATTCATGGCATTGACCATGGTCATAGTTTTATGGCATGAACATATATAAACACATTGAATCACATGATTTAAAAAATTATGAATTCTTGAAGCTGGAGAGCTGGCCCAGGTGGTTAAGAATAATTGTTATTCTTATAGAGGAGCTAGATTTGGTTCCCAGCACTCACAACCACCTGTAACACCAGTTCTAGGCAGGGATCTTGCATCCTCTTTGGCTCCCATAGGCACTACATGCATATAGTGTACATGTGTGTATACTCAAATGTAAGGCGTACGGTTTTTCCGTCCGCCGCCTGGTATTGTCCTGCCGCTGCGCCGCCAGTCCCAAATAATACATAGAGACTCTGTATTTGGTACAATACTGTTGGCCCTGTTACTTGTTTCTTCTCAGCTAGCTCTGTCTTAATTATTAACCCATTTTTGTTGATCTATGTATTTTTTTTACCGGGGAGCCGGCGGCGTCCAGCTCTCTCCAGACTCTCCATCTTGACTCCTCCCTACTACTTCCTATTTCCTCCTTGTCTCCTAGTCCCTCCTATCTTCCTTTCCTATTGGCCAACAGTGCTTTATATTAACCAGATGAGAAACATATATACATAATGGCATCTCCCATCACTCAAACACACACATCAAATACACTTTATAAAAATAACACTGCTGGTGTTTAAATGAGTGTCCATGGTATAGAAAACTTGATTAATTACTGGAAAGTCATCGTATTAAGAAACATTTGAGATTAAAATTTTTCAAAGAGCATTGTATTAGCTGTGGTTATTCAAGTATGGGTTCTCTCTCCATCTCCCCATAACCTAGTTACAATTGCCTTTCCATGATGGACATGAATAAACAAGGAATAGAGATAAGGTGAAGCAGGAAGTAAACAGGTTGAGTTCAAAAGCCTGCACTATCACCTAGCACCTTGTACACATGTCCAGAAATTGTCTCAGGTGGAAAAGAGTATAACACTATCCCACATGACTGCTGTATAAATCAAAGTTAACAAATGGGTGTGAGGCCTGGAGAGCTGGATCACTGGGTAAAGGCACCTGCAGCCAAGTTCATTGCCACATGATAGGAGGAGAGAATTGACTCCTCCAAAGTGTCCTCTGATCTCTGCACAAGTGCCCTCATGTGCACACACACACACACACACACACACACACACACACACACACACACACACACACGGAAGGACTATGAGAAATCATTTAAATGAAAATCAGTGTGTCCTGAGAATTCTAAAGCAATATGAATGAATATTCCAGTCACTATGACAGTGGAAGAGAGGAGTGAGATAAGCATTAATGTCTTTGCAAACTGGGTGACAGAGAGCAAACAAGATGAAACCACATTTTAATGGCAATAATAAGAACCTCACCTCATGGGGAAGCAGCTTGTTTCACAAAGGCTGTCAGGCCTGCAGCACAGTTGCCTAGGACATGCAAAGAGTGTTGGTGCACACCTGCAAGCCCAACCCTCAGGAGGTTCAGCACTACTCAGGATAGTTCTAAAGCCTCAGGATGGCTGGGTCCTACACTCTGCTCACCAAATCAGAATCAGGCGCTGGGTTTTCAGGAATGTTCCTTCATGGGAGATAGTAGTAGCAGTAGTTAGTAAGCATCTTTAGAGACACTTGCCTTGAACTTGGCATCCCTCATTGAGGAGCATGTGCTTCTTGAGGCAATGGCACTGGGGAACCTTGTCTTTAGACTCCAGAAGAGAAGATGCATCTCTCACAATGACTGTAGATGCAGAAAAATTAAAACCATCATGAGCACTCTCCTCATTTGGTCCTTCTACAGCTGAACTCTAATGCTCTTGGGGTTCCAAGTGGCTGCAGATTATTCTTGCAGATTGCAATCTTCATAAAGTAATATGTATTACTTCATTTCTTTTCATTTGATCATTTCCACTACAATTCCCCTTTTAGTCTAAAGAAAAGATTTAGACTTGATAAAAAACTATATACAAAACAGTGAACAACAAGTGTTCTCTAAGAAAAGGAAAATTGAGAACAAAACGAACTACATATCTAGTCCTAGGGTGAAGGCATAACAGAGTTTACAACAGAGTTGTCCTAAGCTGGAAAACATAAGTCTAGTACCTAATGTATAACTAGGAAGACAGAATAATAGTTGTGATACTTTAATCTTCAACCTCATCAAGACCTGAGAAGGAAAATAACGATACTAGGGTAGACAGGAAGTGCGGATGGGCAACTTCCAAAAGGTGCAGCGAGGACAGAAACAGCAAGCTACCTGGACAGTCACCCAAGGTCTTACAGCAATGTTGGTACACCCAGTTTTGGCTAAGGCCAAGAGAACTTGGCAGGCCACAACAACAGCAGGGATGTAGAAAGGCTGTCTTACCCTGACTTGGCAAGGTCCAGCAGTCTTCTATATTTGTCTCCTGCAAGCACATAGGACTGCATGTCCAAATCAGTGGTTAAGGTGGGGGCAGTGCTTTGCCTTAGCTGAGGCAAGAATGAACTCCAGCAGGAGCAACAACATATTTTCAGGAAAGTGCACGGTGCTGTCAGGAGCAACAGTGTCTCATGTCAATGGAGTACTAATATTAAAACATTTAAATGTCATGTTTTGCATGTCTATGAAGTGATTGAAAATTAAGCATCTATGTCTAACTAACATGAGTAAAAGAAACATGAGTGAAGATAATCTGTAATACTCAGGAACTTAGCTAAAAAACTGATTGAAACTTCCCTGAGTAAAGCAGGAACAAATACATAAACAATATAACTATGTACATATACATACATATAAATCCCTAAAATAGAGGTAGAGTGGAATGTCAAGACAAGAGGTAGAACTATAAAGGGCAGCATGATAAATATCCCAAATTGTATCAATATACAAAATGTCTTGAATACAAGAAAAGTATACATACATAGAATATGGCAAGAATAAATACGCATAAAACATCATAAGTGGAAAGATTTCACATAATATAACAAAATATAAACTTAATTTTACATAGCTTATCACAAATAAGAACATATAACAATGTAAGCTGTAAAATACTATTACCTCACTCTTACTCAATAATTCAGAAGAAAATAGGCTAATCTACCTATATCCCATCTAAGCCATACCTTTCCCAACCATACCCTATTCCTGTCTAAAAGATAAACCCGAGTGTAAGCATCACCTTCCATACCCGACCCTAAATAACTAAAACCAACCCAAAGAAGATGACTATTATCCCCAAATTCCAAGGGTAGGGAAAAGGGGCATCGTTATCTTAAGGTTACTTCCTGCTGAAATGGGACGATGATTGTTCCCTGGGATCCTGTGGGAAGAAAATTTTTAGCAATTAAATTTCTCAACAGAACTGGCTGTGACATATGTAGTTAGTCACTGTGTGGCAGAAAATGCTTGACTGTAGTTCTATTTGAAAGTCTGGCCAGAGTGTAATAAGAAAGTGCACCATTACAGCTAGCTAGTCATGAGTTGTCTCGAGAAAATAGTCTCAAACTGGTTTTAGGGTGATATTTGTAGTCCAGATGCATCAGGTTGAATCAAGTGGAAATGACTTTGTGTGTGTGTGTGTGTGTGTGTGTGTGTGTGTGTGTGAGTGTGTATGTATGTATATACATATTTATATATGTATACATATATACATGTATGTATGAGTGTAAAATTCAGCTAAAATAGGAGCTGAATCTTCATGGAGTTCCAGAATAGTCAAGGAACTACCAATCTGAGCAACAACTTGTAACATCTTAAGCACTGTGGCCCTGAGGTGGCTTTCTGATGCATACCAACATGACAAGGGCTAGGCCTTCATTTTCCTTGAAACCTGGATTGTTCACCCACCTATGCACTACAGGTGGGTGTCCCTCACACAGAATTCAAGATGAGAAGCAGATGGCTAGAGCCAGGATCAAGGCATTGCACCAAATGTTGTAAGGGCAGATGGAGAGAGGATTATACTCTGTCTGTGGAGCAACATGGTCATGAATGACAGGGTAGAGGACCTTTCTCTCTAGAAGGATATAGTTTTCCTTACCTGTGTGAGAGCATGGGGAGTGATGGTATAATTTGTGCTAAGAACCAGTGCTTAATGGGCAGTCAGCAGACCAAGTCTCTACTTGAGAGCATCAGGCTTCTGTTGACTTGAGGAGTATAAAGAATCAGTTTCTCCCATAGGAAGGTGTTGTAGAGCCTGCAAGATTTTTCTCAGGTTTCCAAGAATATAAATGGCTCATGGCATGTGAAACAGTAAATACCTTTCATCCTCCACTCTTCTAATTGGCATTTTTACTGATGAGAAAACGTAGGGCTATGGATCATGGTGAATGCCTTCCTAATGAAGAGCATACTCAACAACAAAAGCAGCTTGAACTTCATTCTCATGACCTCCTGGGAATCTTGAGTTGGAAACGCCTATAGAGTAGACTTGGTTGAAAAGAGACAGCTAACCTATGATTTTCCATTACTGTGCTCAGCAGACATCACTAATTAATCACAGATGTCTTTCCTACTGAGCCCAGATGTTCTCTCAGACTCTGCTGTACTAGTGATGATCTCATCTTGTTCTATCACCCAATCTCTATAACATGATTAAAATCTCCAAATACAGAACCTCAGACTGTTTGTTATGTCTAGTAAAATTGTCTGTACCAATGTTTAGTTAATTCTCTGGAGTAGCTAGTAGGGTTTTAATTTGCTAGCCCTAGTGACTCCCAGAAGGGGATTGACAGATGGAACAAGGGGATATGCCACAAGTTTAACTTGCTTGAAGGTTAAGAATAGAAGTCCTAATCCCTGTGGGTTCTCTCTTTTTTCTTTCAGGTGGATAGGACGGAGGTGATCCGTACCTGCATAAACCCAGTATACTCAAAACTGTTTACAGTGGACTTCTATTTTGAAGAAGTTCAGCGTCTCCGGTTTGAAGTCCATGACATCAGCAGCAATCACAATGGGCTGAAGGAAGCTGATTTCCTGGGTGGCATGGAGTGCACACTTGGCCAGGTAGGCAGGAGGTGTCCTTTAGTTTTCTTAAAACCAAACAAAAAAACTATTGCATTTTCCAACATTTTTAGCTATTGTTGTATTTACAAAAGGATGTTCATACAAATATGTGAAGTTACTTATTTTTCAGAGTTAATCATTTTTCTTTCTGAGTGTTTTCATTGTGTTGGTCACTTATACAATAACTGTATAGAGGTGGGCTCCATCCTCTATTCTTGTATCTATTAGAGCTGTCATATCCTGTCCCTTTACATATTTCCCATCTCCTAACTGAACAGTAAGACTCACACACAGAGAGTGTTCCTCATTCAAATTTATGGCAGGTCTCTGGAGACAAAAAGTAAAATGACCCAAGAAAGGGAATAAATGCTGGGTGATTAAATAGATACTTTAATATAAACCTAGTGGGGATGTGAATTAAGCATCATCATTATGTTCCTTTGATCAAACAAAAATCAGACTCAGATTGGTTAAGTGACCTGTTAGTGGTTCTCAACCTGTGGGTCATGATCCCTTTGGAGTAGCATATTGGATATCCTACATGTCATATATTTACATTATGATTCATAACTAGCAAAATGATAGTTATGAAGTAGCAACAAAATTTTATGGTTGGAGGTGACCACAACATGAAGAACTATGTTAAAGGGTCACAGAATTAGGAAGGTTGAGGGAGAGTCATCTTATAAGTGGCAGAGCCACCACTGGCCCCAAACTCGTCACCTTGCTTCTCCTGGTATTTCCCTCCTTCTGCTTTATATAATGGAGTGTTCACAGGAAATAAATCAGTTGGGGGGGAGGTAAATAGATTCAGTTCAATCTTAAAATGCCAAGAGATGACTTTTATTGGTCTAAGAGATTAGTGTCTGCAAACCTTAGGGCTTGGTCTGGATATGAAGGAAAATTAGCCAGCTGGGCAGAGTCTGAGAATCCTGTGTGTTGGGGGGTGGGGATTGGCTTTTCCTAGCTTTCCTGAGACTGTGAGAGAGATGGGTCTGTCAGGTAACTCGAAAGTGCTTTGACAGTCCCTGAAGGTAATTGTTCAACGGAGGGGTGAGGAATCAAGCATGATACCTACCTGTAATTAAGCTCAGGATGTCTGCAGGGTGGGGCGGGGGGAGAAATAACAGAGGAGTCACCAATGGCTGCTGCACACCTGAGTCTGGGATAGATGATGCAGAGTTAGGAAATAGTCCTGAAAGATGATATTAGGTAGCATGAAAGGAAGTGGTTAGCAAGCAGGATGATGCATGTTCTCATTTGTGGAAGAAATCCATTGAACATGTCACATCTGAATGATTCAACAGAGTCTTAAAAGCTCACTGAATATTAAGACCATATTTCTTCATTGTCTTTCAGATAAAGAGTGTGAACTTGGTGGCTTAAAATTAACAACAGACTTTCTTTGTTGAGTGTCCTCTGCATACAGAGTAACAATCCAGACAGGAGCATTTGTTCTGAGAGCCATGGAGGGCAGAGGATACTTTTACCCCTCACAGCTTAGAAACTGAAACCCTGACATGAAGGGAAACTCCCCCCCTTTTTTTGATGCTTTTCAAAATTGTTGCTCCGTGTTCCTTCTTGACACCTGCAGTGCTAAAAAGATTTTGTCTAGTGTAGCTAAGGCAGGCAAAGAATGGCTAGATATCAACCCTCGGAAGGGCCAAGTCAGTGTCCCAGGTGTGGCTTCTGAAGGCTCAAGTATAAACCCTGTACTGTTTAATAGCTCATTAATGTTCTCAGACAGATTCGAGCTCTGGGCTCCCAGTTTGTTGTCAAAAGACATATTTTTCCCACTATTGAAGCCTCGGTTCTTCATTTACCAATAGGGAACGCCATGGTGTCACCACTTGGGGATACTGTGAGGATCGGGCTGGGGAGCGATAGCTCAGTTTATTCAAGAAGGAGTTTGAGAGTATGGTCCTCGGAACCAAATGGAGAAAAAAGAATCTGAGTGTGGGGACATGAACTTGTAATTCTAGCCCTGGGGAATTGGAGACTCGCTAGCCCTGCCAACCTAGCCTAACCAGTGAGCTTTAGGCCAATGAGAGACAATTTCTCAAAAACCAAAGGCACAGATGCCTGAGAAAATGGCATAGAAGGTTTTTTTGTGGTCTCCATATCCATATTCATGGGCATATATGTGCACACACATTGGTGCACACACACACACACACACACACACACACACACTCATACACATGAACATGAATGTAAGCACCTATACATGCACCTGCACACACAACCATCCACTTATATAGACATATTTGCTCACACACGATTTCCTGCCTACACAATAGTGAGACAATGTTTATAAAATGCTGGGCAGAGTCCCTGGCATAGAGGAAGCATGTGGGGTGTTGTTGGAAGCTGTGTGAGAGCCATTTTTCATGTAGTGAGGATCTAGGAAAGGATGAGAAGGATTAGCATTGTCAGGGGGATGGAAGAATTATAAAGGATGATCTCCCAAGTCCTGGGCAGCCACCAATACTGAATGTATAATTTCGTCTCATTTGTATCTCATTCAGCCCCAAGACTCAAGGTACACTGGCTTGTGTGAATGCATGTGCTAGCATTTATTCTCCTAGGAATACTTTATGTAAAAGAAAATTGTTTGAAGATAGAATGTTGCAGTAATCTGGGCAGATATTTCAACCCTAACCCTTGCTACAAGTAAGGCCTACCAACAGAGATGAAATGAATTCACCAAGACCACACAGGAAGTCACAGGTGTGGAGCCTGTCTCCTCAAGCTTCCACGGGCACTTGAGGTGGTTGCTGAGTTTGTCACTTGCCTACTCTGCCATGAACAGCCTGACTTTTGGTTTTGGAAAGAAGAGCTGCCTTAGAAACTGGCAGTTGGGTCCAAGCTCAGCAAGTGACTCTGAGCAAAAATGCCAAGGGAAGCTAAGGAAGGTTCATGTCCTCAGAGAGGACGCCAGGCAGAACTGTATGTTCTCAGCAGATAGGAGATGGGGGCGAGTCATGAGGACACAGAGTGATCAGAGAGCTATGCTTTCCTTCTGGGGGGCTTAGGAACCATCCTGCCCAACTAGACACACAGCTAAGCCCATCTTTCACTCCACCTACAGAGGCCCCACCCGGAAAGACAGGATCAGTAATCACCTGAAAGAGCCAGCTGCCTCTTCCTCTGGCACACTTCTCTTTCATCGCTTATTAACTCGTTCACTCATCCTTATGGGTCCATCTTTCTTCACTCACCAAAGGCAGTGGTCATAAGTCACAAGAATGACTTCTCAGATTGCTGGGCTAGGGAGTTGCTGTACTGCACTCCACTTACTATCCCAGGACCAAGCAGAGAGAGAGGGGGGAGGGAGGGAGGGAGAGAGAGAGAGAGAGAGAGAGAGAGAGAGAGAGAGAGAGAGAGAGATATGCTACCCACTGTATCATTGTCTTTAAACAGTTGGGGAAACTAAGGTGAAGTAACACTATTGTCCATCGTCATGTGGCTCTTTATGGTTCTTTCCATTTATTCTAGTAGCTAGTTCATCTCTAACTAGTATAAATTATGAAGCAGTATTAATGCAAAGCCAAGTTGGAGTTGACCATGGTGGTGTTTGGTGGAGGATTTTTTTCCCAGTTAAAATTGTTTTTTGATTTATACAGAAGGGATGAAATGACCTGTGAACTCTTTTGCAAGAGCATGGCATTGGCTATCATCTCTCAAGAAGGACACTTGCTTTAGGATTATAATGCAGGGGCTGGAGACTCAGCAAGTAAGAGCACTTGCTGCTCTTATAGAAGACCTGAGTTCATTTCCCAGCACCCATGGTGGCAGCTCACAACCTCATGCATCTCCATTTCTGGGGAATCCAGCATCCATTCTGTCATCCACAGGTACATTAACCCAGACTCACACACATACACATAATTAAAAACAAAACAAATCTTAATAGGAAGACTGCAACATTACTTCTTTATAAAAGTCCCCTAAAGCCAGAATCTTACAAAATCAGCATCTAGGAGCATCCCCATCTGACCAGAATTCCTTCCTTACCTAGCCATGTCAACACACACATTGTCTAAGTTCTTGAAGGCATCTTCTCTTCTCAGTGCTTCAGCAACATTTACAGCCATATAAATCCCCTTTCTTATTGCCATGTGGCTGCTTCTCAATGTATTTTCTTCTCCAAAATAACTGAGAACTCCATCGGTAAGCCATTAAAGGATATTGGACTTGGTGTCACAGGGTTCTTTGGCTTCTGTTATAACAGATGGATAGCAATCACCTTCTCTGTATGTCTGTGCACCACATGCATGCCTGGTGCTGTGAGGACCAGAAGGGGGCATTGGACCCCCTAGAACTGGAGTTACAGAGAGTTGTGAGCCACCGTGTGAGTGCTGGGATTCAAACCCCAGTCCTCTATAGGAATATCCAGTGCTCTTAATCACTGGTCCATTTCTCTAGCCCATGATCCTGAAATTTATGAAAATTCAGACTGCTGGGCCTATCTCAGAGCACCTGATTTAGAGGATCTAATGTGAGATCCCATAATGAGAATGTCTAAGTTCCCCAGTGATGGCCATTGTGATGGACCAGAGACTACACTCCAAGAACTCTGCACCTGCTAAAGCGTCAGGCTCTGTCACTAGCCTTAGTGAAGAAAGAAGCCAGTGATATAAGACATTATCTAGAGAAAGTAAGAAGCAAGAAGCAATGACAACACTTCATCATAAACTTTACATTTCTACACATGGCTCATGGATTATGTTCTTGGTGTGTGTGTGTGTGTGTGTGTGTGAGAGAGAGAGAGAGAGAGAGAGAGAGAGAGAGAGAGAGAGAGAGAGAGAGAGAGATTGTGTATAGGTGCATGTTGTGGGAAGCAGTGCTTGTGCACATGTGTGAATGTAGAGGCTGGAGTGTAATCACAGGTATCATTCCTAGGGTGCTATCTACCTTACTTTTTGAGATAACATCCCTTATTGTCCTGAAATTCATCAAGTTGGCCAGGTTGGCTGACTAGTGAGTGAACCCCTGTC